CTACCCCACTCCATTGAGGAACTCGTCAAAGTGCCCAGCCGTTGTGTGTAATGGAATGAAGCTGGTCAACCCTTGCGGTCTTTATCCATCCATGAAGTAAGTGAGAAAACCCCTAACGTACTACTGAACATTCTCCACTTGAAGTCAAATTTTAGGAATATACCGATGAAAACAAAAATTTTCGGCTGGGATTGCACGGATCCAGCACGTTCCGCTTATTATAATTTTGGCTTTTTCGTTGGAAAGCACCATGCCGTTATTAGATTGATTTATTTTCTTTCTTCGCTCATCGCTTGTATCGGACATAAAGATAGTCGCGTTCTCTTCAATGTTGTTATGGTCATCCCAGATAAAGGCTTTATTTGCTCTCCAGGAGATCCTCCACGAACGAAAAACTCGCATTTGTATCCACTGTGTTCTTTCCAAAGATCCAATGCAAAGCCAGCAGGTAATCGCCCGTTGGAAGAGGTAGACGCAGCATCTCAGGTCTCAGATAAAAGCCATTTAAAATTTGAGGTCCCTAGGATGGAATGAATTCAATATGAAGTTGTATGACCTATAGATTTAAGTACATACCACATACGGACATGTGTGATTCATGTTGGTAAAATCATGAAAGAGACCAAAGACTATTTTGAAGTAAGGGTCGTAGCCGCTTCGCATATACCGACAGATATCAATAGTTCTGTCAATTATCCAGGGCTTAAAGCCGTTTGCCTTTTTGAAAAGCTTGCAACGTATCGTAATTGCATTGGCCGGGTGCAATATAGTCGCATTCATATTGAAAACAACTTTATTTCGATTGATTGCCTTCAGGCGACAAGTGTTGAACACTACAAAGGATTTGTTGTAGCTCTCACAGACGAAGTTCGTGAACTTAAAGACAACTGCATCCTGAAAACATGGTTTATTCACATGCACTTGATTAGATTACACGATATACTAACGTTAACTTCGAAATTCAATATTAGAAATAATCCGATTAAAGGACAGACGATCAGTAGAGAGCGCATCGTTCAAGCACTGGGTTGAAAAATAACACATTCGAATGAGACAAACGAGATCTTTTATGCCAAATATTTTTCCGCATGAAGGATTCATTAAATTGCTATAAACATATTGCAAAGAACATTAAGTGCTTTTGCTGTTAACAATCACTGACTAATAGACTTTTTTGTGTAATTTGCATTTCAGAAAATTTGTCTAATTTCAAACTCGCATTCGTACCACATGATCGCTTCACTGGCTCATAAACTTAAACTTTTATCGATGAGGGGGGTCGATAGGCTATTAATGTTGATTTCTGTATAGCCTTTTAAAAATGATTCTAAATAAAATCGACTTGGATAGGTTCGAGTACTTTTGGCTTTTTTGGCTTTTGGCTTTTGGCTTTTGGCCGATATTTTGGCATAAATTCTAATATTTCAATGAAATGTTATACAATTACAAGATTATTATAATTTTTTGTTCATTTATATTCGATTTGTGGTTGCTTTATTTACATCCTGTGTTTTGCTTGTATCGGATATAAAAAATTCATGATGGCCCGCCGTTTTGGGAAGCAATTTTAATATTTCTGCTTTCCTACAGCCGCGCCAGTGGAGGTAATAGATTGGCTGAACATCTCAGATGAGCCAGGCAATAGTCGTGGCATGAGTCTGATTCCTTTAGCTTTTATAGTCTCAGAGATCTAGATCCCAGCTCCAGCTTCAAGTCTGAGATATCAAACATCCCAGTCATCTAACTCTTACTCGGCCTTTAACCGTCTCACTCCCCTGTTCATCACACTTCCCATTTGAAACCCCCTTTCATTAGAGAGCATTAGAGAATGCAAATCTCCAGTTGGAGAGAGAAGCTAAGCAAAAACAAATGAAAATTTCCCTACAGCCGGAGAGCATGGAATGTGCTAGCGACTAGGAATAATTTGTAATTTGGTTTAATACTCGAAATATGTACATATTTCAAACGAATCGCAGAAACAGTTTGCTTAGCCATTTATTTCTCTCCTTTAACTTAGGAATAATTCCCTAAAGATTTGCTTCTATTCAAGTTAATGGAAATAGAATTCAGAACTGGGGAACCTGTTTGTTCCTTTTTCTGGGTGCCTTGAAGTGGAAAATGGTTATTGTTGTGTGGTCATACGACTATTATCGCTGCATGAAATCAACAAAAGCAATATCCACATCAAATAAAACTCAAATAGCCAGTAAAACTGTCAGGAGGCAGAAGTTTAAGGATGCTGCACAAGTTCGAAAACCAATAATATACATTTTTATCTCCCGCACGTAATCTTTGTGATGAAATCGAGTATGCAATGCTCTGCAATAAATTCTTGCACTGGATGGACGGGAAATATCCTGTCATCATGCCAATGTGAAATTAGCAAGGATTTGATCAGATAATGCCCGACTTAATTTCATGGAACTGCCCAAAATAATGGATAATGAGGAGAACTGGTGCTCGCCGCAGAAATTTCACCATGAACCAACGTTCAACCCTTGGGGAAACCTCGAGATGATGCCTCTGGTTCTACGAGGACTTGGGGTCTGCTTCTGCAATAAAATTACGTATGAGGGTTTAGTATTTTAGCTTACGCATCGATTGGCATTACCCCATACTATTGGGGAACTACCCGAAGTGTCCCAGCCATATATCCCCTCTAACAAATTTAAACTGATTCAGCCTCGGATACGACCTCTGTGCCGTCATCGCCTGTGTCTGCTCCTGCTCCCATATTCATTGTCTGCTCACAAAACGAAAAAATTTTTAATAAAATTATAATGCTTACTCACTAGGCAACGGGTTGGGTTGCGGTTTTCCATTTTGGGGGTGGAGTTGCCTGGACCAGCCGGTGCAGTTGCTAGCTGGTCAACCCTTGAGGTCTTTATCCATCCATGAAGTAAGTGAGAAAACCCCCAACGTACTACTGAACATTCTGCACTTGAAGTCGAATTTTAGGAATATACCGATGAAAACAAAAATTTTCGGCTGGGATTGCACGGATCCAGCACGTTCCGCTTATTATAATTTTGGCTTTTTCGTTGTATTATTACAATGATTTATTTTCTTTATCGGACATAAAGATAGTCGCGTTTTTTTCAATGTTGATACGGTCATCCCAGAGAAAGGCTTTATTTGCTTTTCAGAAGATCCTCTACGAAGGAAAAACTCGCATTTGTATCCACTGTGTTCTTTCCAAAGATCCAATGCAAAGCCAGAAGGTAATCGCCCGTTGGCAGGAGAAGCCCCAGAAGTTCAGGTCTCAGATAAAAGTCCTTTAAAATTTGATGTCCCTTGCAAATAATTATAAAATATAAAGTTAAGAATATATATATACCAATGTAAGCGATAGTTTTTGAAACATACCACATAAGGACATGTATGATTAATGTTGGAAAAATCATGAAAGAGACCAAAGACTATTTTAAGATAAGGGTCGTAGCCGGTTCGCATATACCGACAGACATCAACACTTCTGTCAATTATCCAGGGTTTAAAGCCGTTTGCCTTTTTGAAAAGCCTGCATCGTATCGTAATGGCATCGGCCGGGTGCAGTATAGTCGCATTCATATTGAAAACAACTTTATTTCGATTGATTGCCTTGAGGCGACAGTTGTTGAACACAAAAAATGATTTGTTGTAGCTCTCACAGACGAAGTTCGTGAACTTAAAGACAACTGCATCCTGAAAACTTGGCTTGTTCATTTGCACTGGATTAGATTAATCGATATACGAACGTTAATTTTCAGATTCAATATTAGAAATAATCCGATTAAAGGACAGACGATCAGTAGAGAGCGCATCGTTCAAGCACTTGGTTGAAAAATAACACATTCGAATGAGACAAACGAGACCTTTTATGCCAAATATTTTTCCGCATGAAGGATTCATTAAATTGCTATGTACATATTGAAAAAAGCATTAATTGCTCTTACTGTCAACAAATCACTGACTAATACATAGACTTTTTTGTGCAATTTGCATTTCCGAAAATTTGTCTAATTTTAAACTCGCATTCGTATCAAATAACGATCGCTTCACTGGCTCATAGGCTGAACATGAACTTTCATAGATAAGCAGGGTTAATAGACTATTAATGTTGATTTTTGTATAGCGTTCTCCTGAGTTCTTCATGATACATGATCGATACATTGCAAATTGAACACTGCCCATATACTCTACACATATAAATACTACCCAAATACTCATTAAATAAATGTGTCAATAATAATGCATCTACATACAAAAACAATTAGTAAAAGCTTCATGTTATATAGGCAGTGGGGGTGGGCGTGCTCGTATTGGTCTGAAATTTACACATATATATAGCATTTCAATCAACTGTACTCAATTTCAAGTCTATAACTTAATTTTTTAATCTACATATGCCAAAATATTGGCTTTCTGGTCCAATGAGCTTTGGAGAAAATCGATCAGAAATTAAAAAATTATTTGTACATATGTATTTAGTCATTTATATTGCAAAGTATAGAAAATGTAGGTTCGGATCGAAGTAGATCATCATCAACAGGTGATTATTATGTATGATTTGTGTAACTTGTTCTATGCTCTTTTCTTCTAATGACCAGCTTTTTCCTTACCGCACCGTGCGCTACATCTCCCTACCCGCAACGGACGAGAAAAAGACTGATAAAGCGGACCTTATGCAGGGGAAATTATTTTTGTTTTCTGGTTATAATAACTATTCAAATTATTCAATAATTATCGCATCCTTTTCCTTAGAAATTTATTGGATATTTTAATTGTTCAGAAACGCTTCCTTCCGGCTGCTGCCTTAATAATTATGACTAAAGGACAGGTCGTCAGGTGGGACCATATTGTTTCCGCTCAATTTCCGATACCTTAACTGTATATAAAAGACTGTTTTCGCATGAAAGAACATACAATAATTATTTTATAATTATTTATTTAGTTATATTTGGTTGCTTTATTAACATCATGTGTTTTGCATAATCGGCAAACGCTTGCATAGAAAATTGTCATTCCTTCCGGAGATCTTCTACGAATGAAAAACTCACATTTGTATCTCCTGTTGGGCTCTCGCTTTTGCCAAAGATCCACCGCAAGGACAGCATATAATCGCCTGATGGAAAGGGTAGTCGCAGAAGCTCAGGTCTCAGATAAAACCCTTTTAAAATTTGATGTCCCTTAGAAATAATTATACAACATAAAACTAATAAATAGATACAAGTGTAAGCGATAGTTTAAGAAACATACCACGTACGGACATGTATGATTCATGTTGGTAAATTCACGATAGAGTTCATAGATTATTTTGAAGTAAGGGTCGTAGCTAGTATGCGTAAACCGACAGACATCAATACTTCTGTCAACCATCCACGGTTTAAAGCCATTTGCCTTTTTGAAAAGCTTGAAACGTACCGTAAAGATATTGACCGTGTGCAATATAGTAGCATTCAAATTGAGAATAACTTTGTTTCGATTGATTGCCTTTAGACGACAGGTGTTGAACACAAAAAAGGATTTGTTGTAGCTCTCACAGACGATGTTCGTGAACTTAAAGACAACTGCATCCTGAAAACTTGACTTATTAATTTTCGTAGTACTATTATAATAGAAATATTTACGTTGACGTTTATGTTCAATATTATAAATAATCCGATTAAGGAACAGAGCATCAGTTCGGACCGCATCCTGCTCTCGATTGAATAATAATATTTGAAATAGTTCATCTTTTATATGAAAATTAGTTCCGCATGGCGGAGTCAATAAATTGATATTACGCTTTACTTTGTTTTTTGCTAATTATTTTAGCTGTGCTCAAACAGCTTTGTAATGGTTTTCCGAACCAAATATCAAAATATGAATATACCAATCAATGAATCATAAACTACGGGATGCGTGCAATATAGCCGCATTCAAACAGAGTACGAGTATAATTTTATTTTGACTGCCATACCACCGATGATTCATTCTAGCTTTCGCAGACGACTTTCGTTAACCTGAAGATGACAACACCCTCAAAATTTCGCACATTGATTTCCCCTTGAAAAGCATGACGTTTACGATAGGTTCAATATTACAAAAAATTCGATTAAAGCACAGATGATCACAACAGAGCGCATCGAATGTTTTATTTGATCTTGAGGAGGTCCTCTACGAAAGAAAAAGTCGCATTTGTATCAATTGAGTTCTTGCCAAAGATCCATCGCAAAGACAGCAGATAATCGCCTGATGGAAAGGGTAGACGCAGGAGCTCAGGTTTCAGATAAAAGCCCTTTATAATTTGATGTCCCTTGGAAATAATTATACAATATGAAGTTAATTAATATATACAAAAATGGAAGCGACAGTTTTAGAAACTTACCACATACGGACATGTATGATTCATATTCGTAAACTCACGATAGAGACCAGCGACTATTTTGAAGTAAGGGTCGTAGCCGGTTCGCATAAACCGACAGATATCAATAGTTCTGTCAATTATCCAGGGCTTAAAGCCGTTTGCCTTTTTGAAAATCCTGTAGTGTATCGTAATGGCATTGGCCGGGTGCAGTATAGTCGCATTCATATTGAAAACAACTTTATTTCGATTGATTGCCTTCAGGCGACAAGTGTTGAACACAAAAAAGGATTTGTTGTAGCTCTCGCAGACGAAGTTCGTGAATTTGAAGACGACTGCATCCTGAAAACTTGACTTATTAATTTTCGATGAACTATTATAATTGAAATATTTACGTTGACGCCTAGGTTCAGTACTATAAATAATCCGACAAAAGCACAGAGCATCAGTGCGGACCGCATCCTGCTCTAGATTGAAAAATAATATTGTTAATAATTCATCTTTTATATGAAAATTAGTTCCGCATGGCAGAGTCATAAAATTGATGTGTTCTTATACATATGTATATTCTTACAATACCCTAATTATTTTAGCTGCCCACAAACATCAGTATAATTGTTTTTACGAAAAAAAAAAAATATCAAAACACGAACATTCCACACTAACTAACTTATTAGCATTTCAGAAGATCTTTAAGCAGGTCTTCTACGAATGAAAAACTCACATTTGTATACCCTTAGGGGTTCTCATGCCAGAGCTCCTCCACAGAAACGGCAAGTAATCGCCGGTTGACAATGTTGGAAACATACCATATACGGACTCGAAGGATATGCATTGGGAAAGTCTTTTAATAGTCTATAGATTATTTTCACAACTGGGTCTGACCTGGTTCGCAAAAACCATAAGCAATCAATTATTCTGTCAAATAGACAGGGCTTATGCTATAACATGTGTAGCCATTTTCCCTTTTGAATGCTTAATATGAAGTTTAATACTATTGGATTGGTTTATTTTTATTTCGACTGATCGCTTTCAGACGACAGTTATGGCTTGCTACGCATAATTTATTGTAGCTCTCGCAGACGACGCTCGTAAGCCTTTCACAAGGAGGTATGAGTTAAAAAAGCGTTGAGTAGTTGAGTAGAAGCGATGTTCAGGACCATGTAATATACGGTTTTGCAAAGCTTGTTTATATGTTTCATTCTCTCACGTTGGATTCTGAATCATTGTCGAGGTAGTGCCGAATCAAGGTAGATGTTTCACTAGTTGAAATTTTTCTGAGTTTTGCTCGTCAGAACACATTAAGTTTTATCTAAAAAAATCGAAAAACAAAATACTCCAGTGACTAAATCCGAAAATAACTAAGCTAAAAAATAGGCTAAGACTAACACCTCAATCAGTCTTTGTGAGACGATAAGTCCAGGAAGGACCATGAGTCCTGTTGGGACTAAGGGTAATCAGTCCTGGTGGGACGATGAGTTCAAATGGGTCTGAGTGACAGGATGATGATAATTAGGATTATTTGTAGTGCTTTATGGAAATTGCGAGTAAAATAAATGTCGGCGAAGGTAACTGAGACTGTTAAGTTATTACTATTGAAAGATAATTGTTTTATAAGTAAAGCTTAGTCCAGTAGCTTAGATATATTTGTAGGGGTTTGAATCAAAACAAGAGGACGTGTATTAGTAATAATAATGGACACATTGTCCCAATAGCCTGAATTACCTTTTAAACTCCTGATTTATAAAAGCTTATTACCAAATGAGGGAAAAGTGCCTAACGTATAGACTGAAGCATCACCAATCCCATACAGTGTATATATGTATATTTTTGTTCAGCATGAATAGGCGAACCGATACAGAATTGTCTGCCTGTCCGTTTGCACCTATGGAACCCTTTTGTTCAGATTGCAAGCCAGCTCATCGAACTTTAACACATAGTCTTCTCCCATGAATCATTGTCACATTTCGTAGATAACCTACAAGAGTTGGTATGTCAAGTTTAAAATCCTGCAATATCGAGGTGTTTTTAGTGAGGGAAACTAAATAACTCTTTGGGCGCCATGTTTAAGGCACATTACAACAATGCCTAAGCCGGGGCCTTATCCTTTTCCGTGAAAGGATGTGATGCTCCAGGGTTTGATGGTCTGACTGGAATATAGCTGCCAGAGGAAGAATAGTTTTAAAACAGTCCTGCTCCATAAAAACTTCTGGATTTAAATATTTATTATTAAAAATTCAAGAAAAATAGTAACATAAATTAATGTAAATAATTTGAATTTAATTTGTTTTATTAAGTAATGTAATGTGTGTATGTATGCAGATTAATTGGTCATCTGAGGGGTTCAACGGTGTAAAAACTTTGTCGCTATGAAGATAGCTTAATTAGAGGTTACAATTATTTCGAAGGACAATCTATGTTAAAACATACATAGGTTCGCTAATAATTGTTCTTATGGATTGGTTGGTTTTGTAACTTATTATTTGTATTTAGTATTAGTTTAAGCTCAATGTTATTTGTATATTAATAAATAAATATTTAAAATTTGGAGGATAAGCAGTGTTCCTGTTCTTGACTGAAAAAAAAAACATTTGAAAGTGACTAACGATTTCTTAAAAATGTGAAAAATCTATTTGTGCACGAATAAGTAAGTTAATAGATAATTATGTTCATACTCGTACATACATGGAAACACAACACAAACATAAATCCTTACGCAATATGATTTGTGAATTTTTAAATTTTTGGGATATCGTATAATAAAACAATTAAAGGGTTGACAGCGAGGGACTCCCAGAGATATGTTTTATTTGCTCTTCAAGAGGTCCTCTACGAAAGAAAAGCTCACATTTGTATCCACTGTGTTCTTTCCAAAGATCCAATGCAAAGCCAGAAGGTAATCGCCCGTTGGCAGGAGAAGCCCCAGAAGTTCAGGTCTCAGATAAAAGTCCTTTAAAATTTGATGTCCCTTGCAAATAATTATAAAATATAATGTTAAGAATATATATATACCAATGTAAGCGATAGTTTTTGAAACATACCACAAAAGGACATGTATGATTAATGTTGGAAAAATCATGAAAGAGACCAAAGACTATTTTGAAATAAGGGTCGTAACCGGTACGCATATACCGACAGATGTCAACACTTCTGTCAATTATCCAGGGTTTAAAGCCGTTCGCCTTTTTGAAAAGCTTGCAATGCATCGTTACGGCATTGGCCGTATGCAATATAGTCGCATTCATATTGAGAATAACTTTATTTCGATTGATTGCCTTCAGGCGACAGTTGTTGAACACTATAAAGGATTTGTTGTAGCTCTCGCAGACAAAGTTCGTGAACTTAAAGACGACTGCATCCTGAGAACTTGACTCATTAATTTTCAATGGATAATAATAATTCAAATATTTACGTTGGCGCTTAGGTTCAATATTATAAATAGTCCGACAAAAGTACAGAGCATCAGTGCGGACCGCATTGTTCTCGCTCTCGATTGAAAACTAACATTCGAAATAGATCAACATGTCTTATATGAAAAATGTATTTCAGCATAGTCATTTAACTAGTTTTTAATTGTAATATAATTGTTTTTTAACTGAGCACAAACACACAAATCACTGCATATATAGTTTTACACGAAATATCAATATGTCCGATCTTCAGCACATTTTGAATTTAAGGAGATCGAATAATAATCACTATTATTTCTTTAATAAATCATTACCTTTGAAAGATAATTTTTTATTTGTTATTCGGAAGACCCTCTTCGTATGTAAAACTATCATTTACAATTTAAGATCTCTGAAGAGGAACTATTCAGAATAAGGATTTTATACTAAATGAGTTATTGTGGAGAAATAGAGTGCCCAGATTTTGATGTAGCTTTAGCAGAGGACGTTCGACGATTGCATCCTAAAAGCTTGGTTTATTAATTTGCAGCTGATGTAATTGGGATATATGTACGTTATATAGAATCCAATAGCTTCGCAAAACATCAGTTTGGACCGATCATTTGAAAGATACCCCTTTTAAATCTAATCTAATTTAAATCTAATTTCTCATGAATGAGTTACATGAGTAAATCGTTGTGTAATTTGATTTATGAATGTTTAAATTTGTACGATATCGTATAATAAAACAAAAAAGTTAGATTTTAAAGGATTGACAACCAGGGAAACCTCTATATCTATATGTTTTATTTGCTCTTCAGGAGGTCCTCTACGAAAGAAAAACTCACATTTGTATCGACTGTGTTCTTGCCAAAGATCCAATGCAAGGACAGTAGGTAATCGCCCGTTGGCAGGAGAAGCCCCAGAAGTTCAGGTCTCAGATAAAAGTCCTTTAAAATTTGATGTCCCTTGGAAATAATTATACAATATAAAGTTAATAAATATATACCAATGAAAGCGATAATTTTAGAAACATACCACATACGGACATGTATGATTCATGTTGGAAAAATCATGAAATAGACCAAAGACTATTTTCAAATAAGGGTCGTAGCCGGTTCGCATAAACCGACAGATATCAACTGTTCTGTCAATTATCCAGGGTTTAAAGCCGTTTGCCTTTTTGAAAATCCTGCAATGTATCGTAATGATATTGGCCATGTGCAATATAGTCGCAATCATATTGAGAATAACTTTATTTCGATTGATTGCCTTCAGGCGACAGTTGTTGAACACTATAAAGGATTTGTTGTAGCTCTCACAGATGAAGTTTGTGAACTTAAAGACGACTGCATCCTGAAAACTTGACTTTAATTAATACATTTTCGTTGGACTATAATAATTCAAATATTTACGTTGACGATTAGGTTCAATATTATAAAGAGTCCAACAAAAGTACAGAGCATCAGTGCGGACCGCATGGTTCTCGCTCTCGATTGAAAACTAGCATTCGAAATAGATCAACACGTCTTATATGAAAAATGTATTTCATCATAGTCATTTAACTTGTTTATAATTGTTATATAATTGTTATTTAACTGAGCACAAACACACAAATCACTGCATATATAGTTTTACACGAATTATCAATATGTCCGATCTTCAGCACATTTTGAATTTAAGGAGATCGAATAATAATTATTATTATTTTTTTAATAAATCATTACTTTTTATAGAAAATTTTTCTGTTTTTACTTCGAAGACCTTCTTTGAATGTACAACTGACATTTTTTATTTTAAGATCTCTGGAATTACCAATTCCATTTAGAACGAGGGGGAACGTTGTGAGTTGCTGCGGACACCGCAACTCTACGGTTATACCCGATACTAAGTCAGTATGGCTCTCCTCCGGCAGACGCCGCTAATATTTAACGACACGACATCGAGTGCGTGCGAGAGAGACAGAAAATGAGTCTGAGCGTGACGTCGGGCGCTGCGTAGCCACTGCAAATTGATTTGTTCCTTTTGGCTTTAAAAATGATCTGATCTGATCCAGATTCAGCAATCTAATAGATATGGTCATTATCTATGATTCTGCGTTTTTAGTTTTCTCAAATCTGCAATATTGTGGATGCAACAGATTTTCGTCCTTTGTGGGGGCGGATGGGGGTGGGGCGAAATTCTGAGATATACGTTTTATAGTGACATCTTAAAGGAGTGTGTGTACCAAATTTGGTTACTCTAGCCTTAATAGTCTCTGAGATTTGTGGTTGCCTCAGATTTTCGTCCTTTGCGGGGGCGGAAGGGGGTGTGGCGAAATTTGGACAGGAAACGGTCAAGGTCCGATATCACAGGAGTGTGGATACCAAATTTGGTTGCTCTGGCTTTTATAGGTTCTGAGATCCTTGAACTCATATTTTGCAATTGGCAAAACCGACCATGAAACCTGTGTGTTAGAGTGAGACAGAGCGAGAAAGAGTGAAATTGTTTTCGTGATTCTGGCTGTAATAATTATACGATCTGGTTCAGATTTTGCACTCTAGAAGATATAGTCATCTTCTACAATTCTGTAGTTTTTAGTTTTATCCTATCGTCGAAATTGTGGATGCCACAGATTTTCGCCCTTTGTGGGGGCGGAAGTGGGCGGGGCAAAGTTTTGAAATATTTTTGGAGCAGTGACATATCACAGAAGTCTGGATCCAAAACATCGTTGCTCTAGCTCTTATAGTCTTTGAGCATTAGGCGCTGAAGGGGACGGACAGACGGACGGACGGACAGACAGACAGGGCTCAATCGACTCGGCTATTGATGCTGATCAAGAATATATATACTTTATAGGGTCGGAAACGATTCCTTCTGGACGTTACACACATCCACTTTTACCACAAATCTAATATACCCCAATACTCATTTTGAGTATCGGGTATAAAAAAAAAGAAAACAATAATAGTATAACCGTATAACGATTCGTGTAGTTTTAGTTTAAATAGGACTTGAAAATTTTGAAAACCATGGACGCCGTTTGCATTTAAAGTATATATTTATCTACATAGCGAAATGCTTACGCAGTTAAATTGTATTTTTTTCCTTTTTGGGGGGTTCCTGTAACAGCCGGTGCAGATGCATGTGTGTGTGGAGAGCAAAGGGGAGTACTTAGCTGTAGCCCTTATCCATGCATGAATTATGGGAACAACCCCAACCCAGAACTTACCCTTATATCATTGCAGTGAGGTCACAAAATGTTAATCCTTTTAAGTGCGACCAGCGATGGGCATCATCGTGGTGGCGAATCATTTAATCTTTTTATTGAATTGCTTCCCAGTTTATGGCAATCGAAGAGATTTCTGGAGACGTACTCGCATCAGATTGGCGGACGGACATACTGTAAATCTAATTTTCAATGTCCTGTGTCTGCGTGTATGCAAATTGAAATTGACTTTGGGCCTGTCATAACAATTCCATTACAAAGGACAGACTAGTATGGTTATTTATGAGCTTAGGAAATTGAATTGAATCATCCAGAGAGCGACAAAAAAAGGAGACGAAACCCAAATGCACATGGCGATTTTATCAGAGTCATCGCAGGAGCATCAGTGAAATGGATTGGCAAGAGAGTTTCCTTCCATTTCCATTTAAAATGCCGGCGAACAGATGCTCGTGCCTCCTCCATCTTGTTTGCGCAAATTGAAGTTAAACGGATTTTATTTGATTATTTTGGGCGGCTGGAGAGGTCCACTAAACCAATCAACTGAATAATGGAAAACATTTTGTAAAATGTGTAAAAACCACACAAATGTAGCGGCTGTGGTGCGTCTGTCTGGTTTGGTTTGGTCTGGTCTAGTTGACGCCGCACGCACCATGAAGCATAAATCCAATTCGTATCTGATCTAGATCCCCAAGCGAATGTACAAGGGGTTGATATATTTAAATGAACACCCAGGGGCATCCATGGTGGGGCGTAGGAATGCTAAACCGGTGGCATTTGGTGGTTGAATGAAGTCCGACAATACTCCTGTTGCCTTTAGTCCTGTGGCGCAGCTGCTGTGCATTGGTTGTGGAAACATTCGTTGCTGGTTATTTGACATTTAGTTTTATTTTATTTATTCTTTTCGCTGCAGACTTTCATCCGATACAAATGAAAATGGAAACTTGAGTATAACTATCATACTATTAAATTTTGTCTGTTTTTAAATTACATAATATTAAACTAGATGTTTGCAATAGATGTTCCTCTTTTCCTTTGCCCTCATTTAGTTCATTCTTTGTCTGCTGGACTGCCTTTGCCTATCCTGTTTGTTTCCCCTCAATTGTCTAGTTGTGTGGTTTATGCGCTCAAAACGTGAATAAAAGCGTGTACATGGGATGCAGTGTTTTGAAACAAACATGAAATTAGCGAGTGTTCACGATGCGGAAGGGAAAGAGAACACACCTTGGAAATGCAACGATAATGCAGCAAGTACGTATGTATAAAGTTTCACTACACTACCACACATAAATTAAAGTACTAAATTTGGGGACTGCCCTTGAAACTGGCAGATTGCAGGGCCAACCAACAAAAACGATTATATGTACGGTTGTGTGTATTTTTGGAGTGTGGGATGTGTTGAACCTCGAATCATGTTTGAAATAAATATTGGCTGTTGTTGAAGTTTTAGTTGCCGTTTGCTCTATGGAAATGGGTTAGGTTCTGTTCAAAACGTTCTTTTTTTCTGTTGATCCGCTTTACTCCTTGCGCACTGCGCGCTTACGTGTAGTTTTTGTGGTAGGTTGCTATCGAAAGATAAAAAGTACAATTAATTTCCAATTTTATGTATTTTAAAGCATCAAGGGCAAAGACCCACCTCAGTCTGTGCGGGCTCATCAGAACCCTCCGGCTCCTCCGGCTTGGTCTCAACATTATCCTCTAAATCAGACTTTGTATTCTTCTTGGGACTAGCGGACAGCGGCGTGCTTTCCTTACTGGAATCGCCAGCAGCTCTCTCAGACGATGGATCGCTTTCCTCCTCCTCTTCGGGTGCCTCATCGGGTTGTGGTTCATCGGTTTTCTTTGCCTGAGCGGCAGCGCGTTTGGCAGCGTCCTTCAAACCCAAAAATTATTATATTAGAAATGCATAGAAATATCTCCAATCTTTACTCAACAAAGTAAGCAACTTTACCTCTTTCTTAGCGGCACCAAATCTACACCAAATGGTAAGGAAAACGAATAGCACGACAAAGACCACCAGGGCAATGCCCGCGACCACGGGATTGGCCTTGGCTAGCTCGACTACCTTATTCACGAATGAGTCCTACAAAATGGAAACGGCAAATAGCAATAGCAATAGCAATAATTGTGCAAATGTGCATAGGCAATGAATGTGTTAAAGCGTGTAGCGTGTTTTCTGATCAAAAGTGAGAAAACGACGCCAAAGGCGTCCAACCTCTTTGGCGCGACGGTACAGATAGAAGATATAACAACTGGCCGGAATGAGAAGGTACAGGAAGTACAGGGCCCACCATCCAGGCTTGTAGTTCATGCGGCGCATCAGGCGATGCCACAGGGTTTTCTTCCGTTGCGGATAGAGGCATTCGATTAGCAAAATCATTCCATTTCTCTCTGTGCGTGTGTTTGTTGTGTGTGCTTGTTTATGGGTGGAGGAGGCGTGGCAGATAACTTACCGATTCACGATCAATATAGCGACGCTTGACATCAAAACTATTGGCAGCAAAATCACGGGCCACCGCCACATCATCGGTGACGATAAGATTGTCGAAGAGAATGTCGCTAGACATGGACCAGAGCTCCAGACCCACAGCACTCTAAGACGGAACGGAATAAGCGTGTGTTTCCATAGGATAAAAAAGAGAAAAAGAGACACTTACAATCGGTGTCATGCGGAACGGCTTTAGATCTTCAAAGAAATCGGGATTGGCAATCTTGCGAGGAGACCACTTGCCCTGATAGTTGGGATTGTCAATGCTCGGTGCACGCCACTTGCCCTTGTAGTTGGGATTGGGGATCAGCGGAGCCTTCCACTTGCCACAGCCAACGGTTTTCTCACAGACGGGGTTATCCACCAGCGGTGCCTCCCATTCGCCATCGATTTCGGCATCCCAATCCTCGGGCTTGCTGGCCGTGGGATCGAATATCATGTCGGGCTCATCCTCCAGCCAGCCCTCGGGCATAACAGCATCCGGATCGGGCAGCTGGGGCGGTGCATCCTCATCCCAATCACTGGGCTTCGATGCTGTGGGATCTGGTATCTTCTCGCGCTCATCCCACGACTCTGGCTTGTGGTCATTCGGGTCATCGATCTGTGCTGGCGGATTTACGGGCGGCTTAAAGTCTGTCAGTAGGGAGCCCTCATTGACGATTTTGTGATCCACTCGAATCTCGAAGCTGTTGTCGGGATGGACCACAAGCTGATACAAATGTGGGAGCTTATCCTTAAAGAGATCGTCCAGCCGGTTCCTGCAAGCGGAGAGAGAGAAAGCGAAAGTGAATGACCGATTGACCGAATGATGCCAGCAGCTGTTCCGCATGCCGCGAGGGTAAAAATAAACAGACAGACCCCCGACAGCCGCCCCAGCTTATCGGCAAACAACAGCAGCTGCAGCAGCAGCAAATGAACCCCCAGAAAACACACACAGACACATGGCACTTCGACTTACTTTGGTTTGTTGCAATGCTTCTCGGTGATGGTGCCGTTAATTGGATTAACGTGACGGAATATGAAATGCAATTTCACATCGTTCCCGCACTTGTCCGGCCCGAACATGATGGTGTAGGGTGTCTTGTCATTGAACTACGGAGCAAAACAGAAAATATGAAACATTTTCGGGGGCTGCTCGCACATGGAGGTGGGTGGGGTCGGCAACTTACCGACTTAAGATTGTCGGTTTCCTTGCCAGCGGACAGCAGCTTGATGTACGAGCCGCCGCAATCTTGACCCTCCTGCAAAGCAAAACGGAGAAATTGGGTCAAAGAGTGGCATTTGGGGGTGGAACAGTAGTAACAAGTATTAATTGGATTTGTCCAGCCTTAGGCTTAGGCTGGGCTGATGCAATCCACACACAGAATTAGCATATCTCCAGAGTCTAGATAGACGCACCTGCAGTGTGACCTCATATTGCACCACCAGTGGTTTTTCTGCCTTGAAATCGAACTGCTTGCGGAGGCGTGCCGAGATGGCAGCATGCTTTGCCTTCGATTTGAGCACCAGTCCCTTATCCTTCGCCCAGACGATCCGCTGCGGTGACTCCCAGCTCCAGATGCCATCGTACTTGGAGATCTCTTCGGCAATGTCGTCCTTCTTGGCCTGCGAGTTGACCCACAGCTTGCGCGACTCCTCAACATCATCGAAATGGTCGGCAAAGTGGAACTTCTTGGGCTCGATCACAGGGCTCTCGTAGACCAGCTCCTCATCAGCGCCGACCGTCTCCTCCTGAATGAAAAGACACGTTTGGTGTTAGATAAGTGAAGTTGCGATAAAAAAAGAGACGACCACGCGGTCGCTTAAATATTGACACACTTCCCAGCGAGAGGCAGATAATGGGAGGAGGAGGATGAGTGGGGGTGGGTGGGTTTGCATAAGTTGTGCGTGAGGTTTTCCTCTGGCACTTTAGGAAAATGACAGATAAATGTTAATTGGGGGCTATAAACAACGGGTGACCGGCCCGGCCCACCCCTCACCAAATATTCTAGACGCTTCTTCCACTGACGTGTACTTTTCTCACCGGCTACCCCCGCCGGTCTACACATTTGTGCGATATTTGCGCTCTCACCTGAACATCTTCGACTTGGCCATCCTCAAAATCGTCGGCATCGACACCGAACTCCGCATCGGCTGTCACGGACAGCAGTAAGCTGCAGGCCAGCAGCAACGCCAGCGCTGCGCTGCTCCCCCCGAACTTCCACTGCATTTTCTTCCCGATTAGCGGCTGCTGCTGCTGCTGGTTTTGCTGTTTCAACCACCTCCCCGGCACGGCTCTCGTGTTTGTAGAAATGAAAACACACAATTATCTGCTGCTTTCTGTGGTCTTCTGTCGCTGCTTGCGTTGCTTTTCACCAATTTCCTCGAACTGCGGGCGCTGCGAAAAAACGAGAATCGAAATCTAGCACGACGACTAATTGAAATTCAGCTAAATTAAATTATACTTTTCTTCTTCTGCCTGACAAAAAATTTGTTTATTTGCTACACGGTAACTACACATTTGCTACATTTCATTTTCGATTAAATATACCGTCCGACCCCAAGTAATATACCGTCTCATTCTAAAAATATACCGTAAATATACTGACGAATTCTAGTTCTATTATACATATTCCTCGTTTTTGAATATTACTAGCTACTTGAGAAAGTCCACCCCTTTTGCCTTGGAGACAAGAAGCTGATTTTGTGTTCAAGGTATATTGGCCGCACACGCGAGGTGAGGTTCGTACGAACTTTGCAATTTGACTTGCCTGTTTTTGCCTGCTGTCCATACCCCTTCTCTCACATGACAATAAAATATACCGTTTGACTCTCTGAAATATACCGAAATATACATGTTTTAAATATACCGATAATAAAACGAACTTAACCCACTTAACCGCCCTCTTTTTTAACAGGTCAACAACTGGAGCTAAATGTGTTTGTAAATTCTTCTTGTGGATGCATCCTATCCTTCCTCTCTACTTGCAGCAAAAACCCCGATATCTTTCGCCTGAACAACATATTCTTATTCTATTCTATAACTCTTCAAGTGTCAGAATATTCGCGTGTGTATTTACTGGTCGACCATGGGCTCTGTCCATGATCGAAAATCATATTCCTCGATTTTGATATTCGGTTGAATATTACCAGCTAGCTGAGACCTTCAGCACTGAACACTTAATTTAATCAGATTCAGGAATCAATTTCCTACAATATTGGCTAATTTTAAGGACTCTTTTTAAGAGGATTGATTAAAAAATAAGGTATGAACATAAACTATACGGCTACTGCACATTTGGACCCAGTCGATTGGTTAATCGCTAGAGTTGCGCGCCAAAGTTGAATTGTTTGAAAGGGAATGAGTGACAAGGATATGAATGAAATGCAGTGGAATTAATGATGCAAGACCGAAAACTAAAAAACCTTATATAGCTACATAAATTAAATTTAATAGATAGATGAACTGATGACTATACCATAAAACCTCAAACTACCAATGATAGTAATGATATGATCGATGGATGCCAAATTATACGATTGATTTATTTTTTATTTTACTATTATTATGATACACTTACACAACGAGAGAGCAGCGGCGAGAAAGAAAAGGAGAGCGCAATTCCACTGTTTGCCCAATTTCCAATTATGTCGATTGAAGGAATTGGCTGCTTTCAATATACTTTACACTACTTTACACAATTGATCTGTTCGAAATAAGAATCCGCGCGCGCAGATTTACATTTATATTTTCTACGAATTTTTCCGAACAGCCTTTGAATAATATGATCTAAAATTCATACGGAACTTTGGTTAGAAAAGTGTTTAGTTATAAACACTTATATACTTATGACATTTTCAAACACTCAAATGTATATCTGCAAAAATAAAAAATAGTCATATTAATGTCAAAATTTTTAAAAGCGGCACCATTGACCGCTTCCAAAATGCCAAATATACAGACCTCGGCGACATTAGGCATCTTGGAGATGACGTTCTCTATCTCGTTCGGATAGTACATAACGCTATGGCACTTGAGCATGTCCTTCCTGCGATCTTTTATAAACAGGAAGCCATCTAGATCCACGTAGCCCAAATCTCCGGGGTGAAACCACTTCTGAGCGTCCCGAGAGGTCACAGAGCCTCGCCCTGTTCATTAATTATCTTGATCTTGCTGCCGGCGGCTGGGCGACCCGCAGAGTTGGGTTTCTCATCAAAGTGCAGGTTGTAGGTGCCCAGTAATAGGTAAAGATCAACCTACCCTTGATTCTGTATCGAACACGTTGCTGAACTTCCAGGGAGCAGTGGGAGCCACCAAAAATGATATGCTCTATGCTCGACAGGTCGGCGTCTTCGAATCCTGGATAGTTCGCCAACATGAACAAGTGAGAAGAACATTCCAAGAGTACTCCGATCTTGTATTCTTGGATCATACTACACATGAAGCCAGGGTCAAATTCGTTGCCAGCAATAATACTTGAATGGTAGACGCCAGACCGGAGTTTCAGTCCAGAGTGCTGCATGTATGTATGTTGCATGTTAGAGGTCATACGACTGTAGAACAATATTAAAGATATATAACAGAGATGATAAAGAATGAAATAGTCTATATACATAGAAGTTTTAGTTCAACTTACAAAGACATCGATAGAAGCTCGTGGCTGCTTTCGGTATGCCCGTCGTTCCGGAGGAGCAGAGAATGGCCAAAATCTGGTCGGGCTGGAGGGCTGGAGGAGGGCTGGAAGTTCTTCCCTATGGGAGTGGTCAGGATATCCTGAATCCGCGAGGATTTACCGAATAGGTGATAACGCATGGTAATGATTCTCGTGCCCAGGTTTTCGGTGGCTGCCAGAACTCTTTCGTACTCATCCCCATCGCAGAAGATCAGACGTGGTCTGGTTATGTTAAACAGCTTTTCTATGGTGCTCTGTTCGTAGGCGATGTTGAGAGAGTGGAACGGTATGCCATTGAAGAAGCAGTCGTATGCCACGGCCACCAGGTGTGTGGTGTTCCTGGCTACAAGGCCGACAATATCCGTTTTCTTCAAGCCAAGTCCTCTCATATAGCTAGCCACTCGCATTGCATTGAAACGTATTTCTTGCCGGGTCAGCACCGTTTTTTCGGTGGCTGAGATCTGGTGGATTCAGTGGATATTGCACTTATATTCCTCGTATGATGAAATTTATGAGCATACCTGTGCAACGAGCTCCGGATGGCTTTCCATCTCCCGGAAGATGATCTCCCCAATGGAAAGGTACGATGGGAAGTAGTTCGATCTTTCGGGTCCACTCCAGACCTTGAGATTTTCATCGTAGGTGATTTCCGGCATGTAAGACATTCTGCAATCTATCATTTGCTGTAAGTTTCATTAACTTTTGGTGATTCCTTGCTTGCTGGCTCCTCTTATAGGAGCAGCCACATTTTGGGGCAGACAAACGGTAATCACGAAAATAAACGATAAGGACTATTAACAAATAAGACTGGAGACTGGACTTGGAGACTGCATCAGCGCGAGCACACGACTTTTGGGGTAGACCAGCGATAAGAACTATAAAGCACGATAGTCATAAAGAGCGTTTATAATTTGTACTTATATGCACGTTTATATATTTTTTTTATAAGTTGTAATACCTGAAGTGCATTAGGTAGGGAGGCATGATATGCGTCGATAAATTTAATCCGATGTCAGTCTCATAGCCTCAGTTTCAGGACCCCGATTAATTTGAATTTTGGAATGTAAATGACCTGGGCTGGGAGATTGATTTCAATATTTTCCATAACATATGTGTTCAATATTCATGTTTGGATCATTGCAGAAGTAACAACTGCAACTAATTAGTATAGTTAGGTGTATATTAAAGCTACCTATTTATGTAGTATAAGTTCAATATGTATAAACACCCTAAACACCTGGGTGTGTGCATATATATTTATGTATCTAGACATGTTTACAAAATGAACACACTCGTGTACCTCTGCCATGATACTCGTATATTATTGATAGACTGTGTTTTTCCTCTCCTCATTAGTTGACCAATAAATTGCAGCGTATCAGATTTTGAATAAAAGTAAAAAGTGGCATTCTCGCATAAAAAGTGTACTTGCATGTTGGCAATTATTTTAAAAGCTTGCCGACTCAATTAATGCTCTGTCATGGAAGTTGCTAAGCCCCGCAATAAACTTGATGGGAACCGAGCGGCCGGAAGGGGTCGGCTGGGGCTGGGGCTGACGTTGGGGTTGGGTTCGGTTTGGTTCGGTTAGCAAAAGTTTACCAGAACAATAAAGTGGTATGCATTTGAGCATAAAATTATAATAAAAAGTCCAGGCTTATTGAGTGCGTCTGTGTGGGTGTGTGGTTGTGTGTGTGTGTGTGTGTATGGGGGAGGCCGATCGGAGGGTCCACCTTCTGATGCTTCTCCCACACGCGGCTGCCTTTCAATGTGGCAACTTATCTGCGGCACGCGCATCTATATACCATACCATCGGTGCCACAACTGACAGTTTCTGTTGTTCTTACAACAAACACTTGTTTGCAACTGCATACAAAAAGCTTTCTGTTTAATGGAATATTTAACACAATTTAAAAAGTTATTTTCTTTTTTTCTAAAGACAAACAGAGACTCGGAAGCACACACACACAGACAAACACACATGCGAATGGGGGCTGAGGTAGCAGTAGCCCGAGAAGAGAGAACTTTTGTGGAGCCCCTTGGACGTGCCGCAGGGCTGGAGAGAAACTAAACTTGTGCTCAACACACACACATTTTTTTTTGTATGGAAATTGTGTAATGACAGTTAATGAGGGTACTACATAAACAGGCTCGAAAACGCCACACCATACCCATCTCTAGCCCGTTCCGTACTACACCCGCGTACTGCACCTGTGCATAATCATCTGGATGGTGGTGGTGGGACTGGGGCCAGTGTTGTCAAGTGTTCTATTAGCTCAAGTAACAACAACGAGGGCAGCTTACCAACACTTGTGCTGAATTTTTGTGCTGATGCTGTTTGCGATGCACCAGGAAAGGAACCTGCAAAAATTAAGCTAACTAAAGGACACAGAAGGTTGCATGCGTTAGCTTGGGGAGTCGCAGATGAATATACCTCTTTGGATCAATCCTTCTATAGAAGTTATATATACTAGGTATTATATTTGGATCGATCTGATTTGGTAATAGTATTCTATTTTTGTATTATTATTTCCTACAACTACAAGTTTAAAAAATCTTAATATTCATGGTAGAAAGATATTTTCGAGATAATTTAATTAATATAGAAGCTATATAACCCTTTCTTCCCCTTGGCAACATGTAACATAAATCTGCATGAATGCTACATCCCCTTCCTTCTCTTCACGATTATCGGGTGTCAAAAAAATACTCAACCTATAAAGAGAGTATGTGCCAAAGAGTACGTCTCCCATGGTG